GATGAACAGACACATCTCAGCTCTTTCACACACAATCAAAGACACGGAGGAGATGATGAAAGCCAGCGATGCCTGCTTTCTGAAGGTGACAACTGAATTTAGCTTCATTGTTTGTGCACAAAACAACTCACCAATTACCCAACCAGTGATCAAACTCTTAATTTGTATAGAGAGAAAATGAACTGTTATGAGTGTTTGATGAGATATTAAAATGTTTTTCAAACTCTATATTTTCCAGGACTTTAGCATCACGATGGAAAGGTAAGTTGAGCTGCTGGTGTTTCTTCTCTCAGTGGATCTGAACTCAAATCCACTGCAGTTCTGACTCCTGAATGTTCTTCCAGAGTCCAGATCTCACAGCCGGATCCACAGATGAGTTCTGGAGCTTTGATTCATGTGTCACATTACTTGAGTGACCTGCGGTTCAGAGTCTGGAAGAAGATGCAGGAAACTCTCCAACACAGTGAGTCTCCAGACACGAGTACAAAAGATTAGATAGTTAAGAAACAAAGACAGACAGATCAACATTTGATAGAACTACATCTAATAATCACTTTAAGTTCTATGAATTTGAAGTGAATCTGAAATTTCACAAGATCATCAGATCATACTGCAAACTCATAATGACTACAAAACACAGTCTATTCCTCATGGTGTTTGTTTATGTAAATAGGTTTGTATTTCTAATACCATCATATTTTATCCTCTAATCTGATTTAATTCTCTTTGCAGCTCCATTGACTCTAGATCCAAACACAGCACATCGTCAGCTCACACTCTCTTCTGATTTGACCAGTGTGTCGGACAGTGATTTACGTGAAAATCTTCCTGATAATCCAGAGAGGTTTGACAAGTATCCATGTGTTCTGGGTTCTGAGGGCTTTAACTCAGGAACACACTGCTGGGATGTGGAGGTTGGAGACAACACACTCTGGAGTGTTGGAATAACCACAGCATCAAACCAAAGGAAGGGAGACGTTTTCTTTAACACTAATGTCTGGCGTGTGCGGTACATAGACCGTAAATACAGCTCACAATCCTCAGATCAACCTTTGACTGTCTTCACAGTTAAAGAGAAGCTGCAGCGTGTGAGAGTTCAGCTGGACTGTGACAGAGGAAAGGTGTCCTTCTCTGATCCTCTAACTAACATCTGTCTCTGCTCATTCACAACAACCTTCACAGAAACTGTCTTTCAATTCTTATATAACTACTGCAAAACATCCCCTCTGAGGATTTTACCAGTTAAACTGATTGTAACAACAGAA